GCCAATTCCCATTGGGATGGTTATAGTCCCGACTAAGTGGGATATTTGTAGTCTATATAGACTACAAATATCCCACTAGGGCTTTCTCCGGGTTTTAATATAATAATAATTACATTTGATGTTGCAATAGTTATTGTTTGTTTGATCGCATTCAACACACTATTGTGATCCCAATTACACCCTGGTTGTTTAAGAAAGTCACTAAGTATATATTCACAAAATTATTTGTGAATGCTGATTTGCCAAAAAGAGCTTGCTTGTCTCTAGGATTAGTGATATTTTGCACTTCACTTGGAATTTGTTTTATTGTTTTGAAAACTCGAAATGGAATAACATTCTTAATGTTGCATGAACACTACATCTCGTTGTATCAAATATGTTGCCATAGGCGAATGTTTTTTCCATAAAATCAATATTATCTATTACAGTGAGGTTCAAAGATATTTTCATTATTCTTAATTCTACTTTCTGGGTTGGCATCACATATTAATATATGCTTTTGTTCCAGTTTTCTCTCATACTGTCAGCTGCGAGACAAAACATTGGCAGTCCATAGTATAGCATGAAGAGATGATATAAGCTTTGGTTTTCTGGCTAAGGAACTCAGGACATTTGTCAACCAAATGTTTGTTGCTGGAAATGCCATGTTTAAAATCATCGAAACTAGGAAAATACTTATTTTTATTGCTTTTGTATCATCAAAGGGAATTGCAGATAAGTCTCGCTGCAGCCTTTTTTGGTTTTTTACATCATGCTTTGCCTTCTGAATAATCAACTAACTTAGTAATAAGTTGTTTTAAGATAGATGGAAATCCATCCTGATACTCATTAAGAGATGTTGGTGTTTCTAACTTATTTTTATTTTGTCAAATCCATGCTTGTGATCTCAAAACTTCATTGCCCAGACTCTCTCCAAACCCGTTCTGCAAGCTCAGGTGTGAATTGAATTTCATCATCATCAAATTTAGCTGTATCAACTCCATTAATACTCAATGCCATACATAAAATTAAAGGATTTACAGGCTTTACTAGACTTCTTTGCTTGTTTGTATACATATGTAGGATGGATGTTAGATGACCTAATACATTTTCGTTTTCCTCTACATTCCCTGATTCTGTCATTTTTAAAATCCACTTACTGTAAGTCTTTAGTGACATATCAACATCGTTAGTGTGCTTGTCTTTGCATTCAAACGTTCGATTTCTGGCACCAGGCGGTTCGTACATATGTCCGCCACTTGATGTGAAACATCGCGTACATATAATCTCTCGTTTATAAGAAATTCTGGTATGTTATCGCAGTTTTCAAAATTATAGAAAAACCCCTGATTTTCATACATCACATGAAAATTTTCGAAAACACTAATTGG